GCATGTCTAATTGAGCTGAGCTAGCTATGAAAAACCCAAAACAACTACCGTTAATTTTCCTTGTTTTTTTAATATGCATGTTTCCTTCCACAGTTTCCGAAGTCTTTGGAGATCTAATTAGCCCAAAAGCCCCTCCTGATGGGAGATGTAGGCCTACAGAAACACTTCCCTCCACTGAGGCTGTTGTAGCATGTAACTATTTTCCGTGTCTACACGATAAACAAACACTTATGCCACCCACATACTCAGTGCCATATCAAGCCTGGCTTGGCTAATGATGATAAACCTACATAAAAGTACAAAGTGCTGCTAATTAGGCCTATGTCGATTATGGCTCATTAATGCTGATGTTGCCCTGACATGTTTTTGCCAATCATCACTGGAGAGGGCTGCAGTGCATCATTTTCTAATTACTTTAATTCATCATTGTACTGATGCTCTAAGCGAGTTCACATCAGCTCCACGGTCAAATGTTTAAAGGAAATTTGTGTAAAAAATGACCCAAAATAAATTTTTGCACATAGTGGCCTGACAAGCTGATCTTGTCGTATTTTTCTCGCAAAATCTCTCCTTCAATTGTCCATAATGAAGAAATATGGTGATGTAACAAAATCTGTAAATGCAGTCACCCAACCAAGAAAAGGAATATTGAAAAGAGCCCAAAGCACCTGTTAAACCATATTGTATATATCTATTGAATGTCATGCCAGGAAATGTTCAGATAAGTTTCCAGGAACTCAATTTTTAACAGTGGCAATTTCATTGTTCTCTAAATTATCTTGTTTTGACCTTTGCAAGCCAAGATGAACGGCAGCCTGTGAAAGATGAAGCAGTTGCCAATCTTACTGATTTCATATCACATTTCCTCTTCCACGCTGTCCAGTTTTGTACACACAGTGGACACCGATGTATGAATGATAGATCAATTTTGAGTCATTTCCCAGTGATAATCCCACATTTCTCTTCTTTTACACTTCATTACCCTAATCTTGCCACTATGACCTACTTTTCCACTCCTTCCCAATTCCCCAGGCAGTCAAGGAGCAAGCTGATGCACTCCCACTTACACACATACCTCTCAAGAGAATTATTTATATTGCCCAGGTCTGGGACCAGTCTAATTTGGTGAAGCTATAGAGTACACAAACCTCAGGTCTGAGATCTCTTTTGCTGAAGGCAGGAGAACTGTGAGCGCTGCGGCGCGAGACAGAATAAAACATGGTGTTGCAATGGCCTTTGATCTTCCGTTCCCTCCTTTTCTCTTTTTCAAAGGACCAGCGTGGAGTTGTCCAGCTGATGCCAGAGCGGGGGCCCCATTTCTCTGCCACCAACAGACACCCTGGGACAGATGGCCAGCAGATTATTTATTTCTATTTTTATTCTATATGAGAGCAAGAAAACCGAGAGACACTTTCTTTGGAGTTTGTTTCATGCTGGGTGCTCTCAGATATAAACAACATCTCACATGCATAATTATAAGTCTCTAACTGGCTTAGAAGTAAGCCTATATATCAGCTGGTTGCCTTAAAACCTGGCAAAAAGCACACTTAAAACACATTTTATGGTTAATACTCACCTGAACCTATGAATTGATTATAGATATTCACTTTACACGACAAAAAAACACACAGAATGTAAAACTATAAACAGCATCACAATTAAATAAATTCTGCTTTGAATCACATGAAGTGTTGTTGTTAGAAGCGCTAAAAATAGAACTGTGTAATTGCGCGACAGATGATCTTTGTCACCTGTGTTGTGCGAAGCTAAAAGCCATCTGCAGGGAATGATTTCCTTAACAGGCAGCCAAGAGGTCAAACACTATTAGCGATGTTCCAGTCGACAATCTGAAGGAAAGCATGTTCCTCATCTCGCTGAGAGTCTTTGAAAATGGGCACCTCTTTGTCAGGGCAATTTGTTGATGATGCATGGTTATGATAAGAATTGAGTGAAGTGTCTGTGGCTGCCCAGGGCCTTGCCAGCCAAGGCGGCAAGACCAACACAAGTAATCAGTCGAGGTCCAGATTGAGCCCCCCGATAACACGGGGTCCCTGATTGCTCATAAGTACCCAAGGCAGCGGCCATTTAAAACAATTTCTGGTGATTTTGATTGACAGTTGGTCAATCAAAACCCACATCTTGTTGCTGCTGCTATCAGTGCTGGAGATTACATCAGGTGTCTTTGCTTGAGCCGCTGTCTTTCTGCTTCGATAAAGGAAATTTCATACACTTTATGTGTTCCGACAACTGCGTCAGGCTAGGGCTGCTCGATTATGGCAAAAATGATAATCACGATTATTTTCACTGAAATTGAGATCTCGATTATTTGACGATATTTATTTAACAATAACAATGTATTGAATAATGACTTTAAAAAATAATATAAAATAGTGTGCAAATACTGATAACAGTGCAAATGTTTGCAATATAAGAAATAAATGAAAAATGTAAACATCTATGTTTAGTGAACTTTGCAGTGTTGCTCTGCTCACTATGTCTACTTGATCCACGTCTGACTCCGCGAACCCATAATGTTTCCACACCACTGAAGTTTTTTTTACCTCTCTTTTCAACCAACGGCAGTCACTCTCCTCTCCAAATAACTTCTGCTTAGCTTTCCGAGCTTCCCTCGGGTCCTCTTAATTGTTGTGACGCGTGTTCGAAATGCAGAGAGGTGCGCTCGATTTGTCACACGGAGCAGCGCGAGAGTAAAGCACGAGGGAGGTGCTAATAATCGGCTCAGTCATTTTTAATGATTGTTGAAAGCCCAGATCGTAATCGAGATTAAAATTCAATTAATTGAGCAGTCCTACGTCAGGCTATGTTATTACTTCAGTTTGTGTTGGGATAATTGTCTGTTTCATAAATTTTGCGCTTATTAATTATATATTAATATTTTACCTATGTTTCATTTCACTCTACTTTTTAACCCTTTTCAGACACTTTTCTTTCACGCTTCAGGGTAGTTTTATAGTTGTCTTTTTGTTTTTTTACATTTAATTGATTGTATGTTTTTCCCTCAGTTCTCTTCCACTACTTGAGTTTTTCATCTACAGGTTTTAGCTGCATCCTTTTGGTGGGCTATGTGTAGCTCTCAAAAGTGATTTTTGGGGGCTTTTAAATATGGTATGCAAGAAGCTATCGTGCATTATAACCCATAAATATGTGAAGAAGAATACTATCCACATCTTCGCTTGTAGGTTTGCGTGAACTGCATGACAATGAGCGCATATATATGGTGACCTTGGTTACTCCTGACTAACACTTGAAAAATCTTACATGCTCTGTTTTTGCCAGGTTCAAAGCTTTAGAAAGTATGTCAATACCTGTAAGGAGATGGCATATTTACCAACCAAAGATGCATAACAATTTCATTGCAATCTCTTGCATCATTGTAAATTATACTGTCAATTGTATTCATGAACCTCTGAGTGCATTAAATGGAAAGAGATGCTAGTTGTCTACATTTTGACTAACGCCTCTAAGCTGCAGGCTATAAACACAGCTGGCAAAAATATCTTTTAAGGAAATGACAAAACTGGAATTAAATGTAAAGAAATATATAATATGTATATCTGTTTGCCTTATAGTTTTAGTGTTCAGACACCTGTGGTATTGAAAGTTTCCACTAATAAAATTCACACGGTGTGGTAAAAATCAAGTCAAAAAATGAAAATATTTTACTCAAAAAACACAAAATCTGAAATACTGATCAGGCTTCTGTGAACTCAGGCTGTCTCATTTGCTTCTGTGACTTCATGTAGCTGCAAACCGACTCTCTTTCTCTCTCTGTCCATATATATGTATATCTGGAGAGTTTTCATAGTCAGTGTGATGAACGTTGTGGAAATGGTCACTTATAAAGACTGAATTTGTATGGTAAGTACCTATTACCATTGATGTCTAAAAAATGACTTGGTGGTGTTACACTGGTAAAATATCCTTTTAATATTGCGGTTTCACTAACTATAAAACATGCACCAGCCGTACTTTAAACCAAACCCCGATCTTTTCAAAATCTTTTGATCAATAAACCTCACGGAGCGGTATTTGCTTGCCCCCCACAAAACAAAATGTAGGATAAAAACTAATGAATAACCTTGTCTCACATTTCACAAATTACTGTGAATTGCTTCGTAAATAACATACTCACATCTTGCTGTCCTAAAATTAATTGGCAACAATGCTTGACAACTGTAGACCATGATTTTTGCTATATGTATGCATGTATACACAAAGTTTTAATGCCAAAATTATGCATTTGAAAGAATTTTGGGGATCCTATGAAAACAGAAAATTAGTGCACATTGTTTATTTGCCATTTATCCTATTCCACCTATAATCGTCCTTTTACTTTACTGTTCAAGCTTGGCTAATTTACAAAAATAGTTCTCAAATGGCCAAACATGATGTGGCGGAGGTGTGGTCCCGGGCGCGGCTGTAGGGGAGGGGTGGTGCGGTGAGCTCAACGGGGCGGTGCTGGAAACGCAGGTGAAAACAGCTGATGGCGTTTTGGACTGATGATGCTTTCCTTACCCTTTATAGTGAGACGGGAGAGGAGCGGAGGGGGGCTGGAGATCAGCTGTGTCCGACGGCTGTCAGACTGTGTCGGTCATCACGTACAAAAAGAAATAAAGTTGGTGTCTGAAAACAAAGACCTGTGCCTGTGTGTAGTGCATTCCACACATGAACCTTGCAATCACCACACAAGCCTCCGTGGAGTGCGAATGCTTTGTCACTACGAGGCCTTTCAACTACTTAAAGGCACATCAAAAAATGTATGAAAAAAATAAAGTTCTCTTTTCTCTTTCTTCCTCCTTCTTCTCCCCAGTTACTTGAGATCCCCAAATGCGCAGAGAATAAAGTCAAGATTTTTTTAGTCATTAATTAGATGCTCTTTTGGATTTTAGTTTTCCTTTTTTAACCCAGAGTTCATGTCTATATATTTGTACACATGTTCAGAAGGATTGAAAGAAAGTGCTTCGATCTTTTAAGGAACTGAATGTCAATTTTATTTTCAGCAAAAGATAAAAACATCATTTGCACAGTTCTGCCTCTTCAAAATAAATAAGAATACATATCAGTGTACATGTGGACACCTAGTTGTAACGTAATTTGTTTAAGCTGGAAAAGAAAATTGGCACAAAATGATTATCATACAGTGTGTCCTTTCACCATCAATATTCAAACCACTGACATTATTTACTTCATTTCTGAAAGACAATATATGCTGGAATCTGCAAACTACAGAAGCAAAAGTCATTTACTTACAAACTGCAACTTCACCCAGGTTAGGACTGTCGCCTCAGAAACATTTATTTATTTTTTTAGTCTAGGTGGTGTGAATTTGCAATCAAGCACAGCGAGGACAGATCCATCAGTGACAGTTTCTGGTGTAGCAAACATTCCCAGACCCAACCTGCCTTGTACAAAAGCAAAACAACTAAACCCTGACAGATTATACCTCAGAAATTATACATTTGACTTTGCAATAGAAAGGCTGAAGAAAAAACAGACTGAGACAAACACTACATTGCAACTTCTGCAAAATGTATTGTTGGGAGAAGAAGAGAAATGATGTTTTCCTGTTTCACCCAGTGGAGACATCAAAATGACGAGCATGTCATTCTTTTTATGATTTGCACAACTTATGTCTTCACATCATTTCCTTAGCACATCAAATACTTGTTTATACTTTATTATATGTGTGCAGTTGCACTTCATATAGTGTTGAAGGATATTTCTGAGTCCGTGAATAATGTGGCTCCTCGATTTCAGTGTTTGTGAAAAACAGCCCCTCATCCCCCTGCTCCCCATCCCAAAGATAGAAGAAGGAGAAAAAAAAAAATCCCATATAAACTGCTGTCAAATTTCATATGAACAGTCAAATGACTACTGATTAGCCGCTAGAGACACAGCCTTTCATGAGAAATTTTTTTATTTTTTTTTAGCACAAAGATAGCAAAGGAATGCTTCAAAGCAAGAGTGCTGGGCCGGTGCCCATCACAGGAATGAAAGGACAGGTGCCTCCCCGTAAAAATGCTCCAACATGTATGCATTCTGCAGTCAATGGTTGGACCCAAGCCCAAAATCTGAAACCTTTAATGTCTTTTGCACACAAGGTTTCCTCCTCAGTCAAGCCACTTTTGAAGTCCGTGTCAAAACTCACCATGGCACGCTTTTCAAAATCCATACAGGGAGGTAAACAAACCAAAAAAACCTTTGAAGTCAAAGTGTTTTTCTTTCAGTCTCTTGTGTTGTCTTTGAATCTTTTCCTCCAATGCACTAAGGCAGACAAAATCATTTTCTCTGACAATAAATTACTATTATTTTTTGGAGTCCCACAAATGTTAAGAAACACATTTAGTGGCTATGACAAGACAGTGGTGCTATCGCTGTTGCCGTACAGGTCAGCCAGCTTTTTGAAGCGTGGTCCCCAGTTGCTGAGATAGTCATAGTTCTGATCTGAGTCTGTACTTAGTGACTCCAGTGAGCTTAGCGACTCAGCTACAGAGCCGCTACCTTCAAAAGCATACGTCTGCAGAGAGTCGTACGGAGGAGCTGATGGGTCCACGTCGGCATCCTTCAGTCGCTCCCAAATAAACTCTCGAAACACCACATTGTCTGGTAGGGATTTATAGGACGGGCGAGAAGCTGAGGGGTAATGAAAGAAAGTAGGGGTATCTGGAGTGACGTCTCGTCGTACATTGGGGTCTCTGATGACATTGAGGTTACGCAGGGTCACCATGTCGAAGGCCTCTGTGTCCTCCTCGCCCCCTCCCTCATCGTCGTAACGGACGATGTTTTCTCTGATATCTCTTTCCTCTTCCAGAATCAGAGGTTCTTTTCTTCTCCGACGCATAGTCACAATTAGTAGAACCATGACTGCGAAGAAAAGCAGAAATCAGTCAGTAATAAGTGACATTCTTTCCATTCCAATCAGCTGAAAAGATGCAAGAACAGATGAAAAAAGTAATTTCCACCTAAGAGTGCTTGTACCTTAAGAGTTCATAACATAGAACAAGTGGGAAGCTTGCAGAGAGGCATGATGCAATTGAGTGTGTTGGCAAACAAGTAAGAGATACAAATTATCATCTTACTGTAAGCGCTTGAATCGGATTGCATTCGACTGAAGTGCTTAAGACAATCAAGACTAGACATGAGACACGAGATCATGAGAATCTACGCTGATATAAATTGTCTGAGGTAAATTAAATACACGCTAAAAGTAAATGAAACAAAACAAAAGCAAAACACCTCTTTATAGCAACTGAACAAAAATGGCTGAAAAAGGTCCTGAGAGGGAAAATTATTCAGATGGTCGTTCAAGCATGGAAATATAGCAGTTAGCTTAAATAGATGATTGAAATTTTTCGCTAAAAGTAATTGAAAATAAGTTTAGTAAATATCAAACTGTTCCAGTGATAAGCTAAAAGCAATGCAGCTCAATAGTTAACAAAAGTAACTGACTGAAAAAGCTCTTAAAAAAAATTAATAAAGGTTCAAAATGGGTGATCAAAGTAATTAATAAATGTTAGCTAAAAGGAGTTAGCTAAATCTGATATTTAGCTAACATTAACTGAACGGGTAAACAGCTGCTGGGTAAAGTAACAATGGATGGAAGCTGACAAACAATCAAGGTGTCCAAAAATGATGTATGATTATGTTACACATAACGGGTAACTGCTCAAATAGAGGACAAGTGCAAACGTCATCACATACCCAACTTTCAGACCAACAACTGTAGTGCGTAATATTTACTATCCGTTTTGTTTGCTTATTCAGGTCAAGGTCAATGGGGACCGGAGCCTATTGCAGCTGTCATGGGCTGAAAATTGGGGTACAACCTGGACAGGTTGATAGCATCACTCACATTTACACCCATGACCAATTTAGAGCCACCAATTAACTTCTCCTGCATGTCTTTAGACTCTGAGGGGAAGCCAGATTACCCTTAGTGGGAGCTACTTGCTGTGATGAGACGGCACTAACCACCATGCTGCCTATAAACTCAGTCAATAAATGAAAAATGCACACATATGGTGGGTGATGTGTTTCCTCACTGACTGGGTATTGATTCATTCAGGGCTTGTCAGAGCATGTCTGATAAAATAGCTTGGAAACTGCCGCCCTATCATTTCAATGGTAGTGCTTTGCAAATTCTATTAGTTACAAAGCTAAAACTGTTATGTAATATGCTGTATTTTGTCCCTCTGTGTTTTCCACCTCCTACGTTTTGCTTCAAGACTTGTACAAAACTCCACCAAACTGAAATCCTTGGTCCTCTGAGATCTTGCCAGAAGCCCTCCTCCAGCCCCTGTTCCCTCTCCCATACATTATTGCTGAAAATAACTCTACGCCCAAGCAAACTGGCAAATGTCTAATGATCCTCTATCCATCAATGTCAGGCTGGTGCCAGTGAAATATCGTTCCGTGGGCCCATATTTCTTTTCCTTCTCGGCATCAAGCTACTGCAGGCAACACAGAAAGAGGCCCTGGATCCACATTCAAACACCACTTCACACCCTCTAATAAGGGAGCAAATGGAAGAGATGGAAGGCAGGAAAGTGTCACATGGAAACACTGTAGGAGATGAATGGACAGCTCTCTGTGGGCTTTTTGGTGACTGCGTGTACCCTATAACAAAAGCACTATGTTGTAGTATATAAACCAGATTTTGTGAAATATTTGGACTAGTCCTTCACTCAAACAATGCTACCAATATCCATGATACTTTTCAGTGCTTTGGGAAAGAATGCCAAACATTTCTGTGGAAGATTTTAAGCAACTCGAGTTGTTCTAAATTCTATTCAAATCAGCAAGGCTTCTCCAAAGTGAATTACAAAGTGGCACATTGAAATAGAATATTCTCAGTGCTTTCCAGCAAAGCTCTTTAGGTTTTAATGCCTAGAAGGCAGCCACGATGCATCACAGACTGGAAACGGGCCAACATCCAATCACAACCCAAAGGATGAGCAGGTGGATGGTCGGGCATACAAATAGTCAGTCTGTGTCAGGTACCAGGGGTCTTGTAAGAGATGATTTCCAGCCTAGGCAATTTAACAAACACAACCGTGAAATGACAGGAGCCCCACTTTTCATAGCACATGTACTGAAGATGTATACTAAATCACAAATAGACAAAAAGGAGATCAATTTAGTGCTACAAAGGCTTTTGCTGTAATTGAATTGCTTAAATGATCTACCCCACACAATCGATTGCAAACAAGGTGAGTTTTCAGTGTTGCCCTTTTCTTTCCAGCAAGCATCACTTTCTCATTAGAGTATTTTTCTATGCGCTGTGATTCTGGTGAAGCCAGGACTGATTATTTACTCATTTTGTCACCCACACACAATCTATGTCTCTTCGTTGCAATGTAATTTATGAGAGGTATTAATCAGCAGCTGTGAGGCTGTCTGACATGAGTGGAAGCTCAATGTTTAAATACTAATTAATGGTACACAGGCAATTGTTAATGCCATTCATATTTAAAAAAAGAAAAAGAAAAGAAGCACTGCTTTTAAATTATTAAGGACTCTGAAGACCCATTTTATTGATGCCCAACATGAAGACAATTTTCTGAAACTTTTAGCACTTTCTACTTTTCTGACCTCCTCTGTGTGCTTTTGAGTGCTTTTTTCACTTGCATGCACTAAATCAGAATTTAGAAACATACTGAACTGGTACATCTCTCCAAGCTACATCTACATAGATCATATGTAGTGGACAGCTAAGTTTTTTTTTTTTTTATTGGTTTATTTTTTCTCACTCTAGTTAGTATAGTTAGTTAGTTAGTATATCATTTTTGTTTAGTATCAGTCGTTTTGATAAGGCCACTTAAAACCCTCTGCCCGACTGGGCAGTACACTATGTCAAGGTTTGGGTGGACAGAGGCTCTACTGAAGTGATTAAAAGTCCACACAGCCAACCAATCCAAAATAGCCATGAGAAGCATGAAGACCATCAGGATAACATATGGAGTACAAATGAGGGAACATAACAGAAAAATGAAACACAGGACTATAAATACACACAGAACCCTAAATAGGGAGCAAGAAACAGGTGAGGGCAGAACACTGGTGGAGACAGGTAATGGTAGGAGGGAGGAAGAAAGAGGCAGGGAGTAATACAAAAGAAAACAACCCTTCATAGTAAAACAGAAAATAACCAAAAGACAAATAATAAGACAAGAAGACTACATGAAACAGACTGGGAAACAATGAGGAAGCCCGCAAACACCATCCATCCATCCATCCATCCATCCAAGCTGGTATTGGATGAGAGGCTGAGTACACCCTGGACAGGTCACCAGTCTATCGCAGAGCCAACATAGAGAGACAGACAACCATTCAAACTCAAATTCACGCCTACGGCCAGTTTAGAATCTCCAGTTAACCTAACCCCACGTACGTCTTTGGACTGTGGGAGGAAGCCGGAGTACTGATCCAGACACAGTGAGAACACCACCAGAATCAAAAACACGAGAACAGCAGCAAAGTCAAAATTCTCAGTAATATTAAAAATGGATCAAAATCCTGGCATCATAATGGCGTGTTGCCACAGGCTGGGTTTTTATTAAAAGTTATTAAACATTTTTCTTTTCAAAGATGAATTGGATAAACTAAAGAACATCATATTAAAACATGTTGTGACCCACTTATTATCTCAGTCAAGCTCCGATGTAGGCATGAGAAATCACTAACATCAGCTTTCTTGAGTGATGAGATAGCAACATATTCTAATCATGTCTAGGCTGGTCGCTGAAAGTTCCTTTATGGCTATGATCCAGAGACCAAACAGCAGTCAGTGGACCAAAGACCTAAGCAGGATGAGTCACCTTCTTAACATTCACGAGATTATTGGCAGTTTGGTATTGAATCATTGTAAAGTCTCTAGTCAGAGGGCACTTTCAATGTGCAACTTTGCACCTCTAATATTTTAATGATTCAGAGCCAGTGAGCCTGTTCTTTTTTATTTTATGCCAAAAAGCACAGCAATGCCTGAAAAAGAATTGCTGTATGATATTACTATTGATTTCTTTTGTAAAATGGGGATTTTTTGGTATTTTGTAAGACATTCACTGTCCTGAAAAATACCCCCATCAACATGAAAATGCAAGAAATGATGCCAAACACTGTTAAGATCAACAGGTGGTGATGAAACCCTAACCATATAGAGATGTTCTTTAATCAGAAGCATGCAAACTATATCATCGTGCACAGTCTGATGTCAAAAAATGAGATAAAGGCACACACAAGACAAAAACCTTCATCAGTGAACTGAGATGGCCTTTGTGCGTGGAAGGCCAAAACACATAGAAAAAGCTCTGTGCTACAAAATACCCTTGTACATGTAGACAGGGATTAAAACAGCATTTGACTGTTAGTGTGTGGGTTGTTGTAATGAGACTGAGGTAGGTTTGGATCTGACTTGGTACAAATAAATAATAATTCCAGTGTCTATACATAGTTTTTCAAAACAGAGAGCAAATCAAGTCTGAAGGATTTGACTTAAATGCCATCCACACACAGCTTCACTCACCGTGACCTTAAAGTTGGGTATTTTTAATCATTTAAAATCAGAGATGAGCCCCAAAGTAAAGTTTTGAAGTGATCTGTTTTGTTGTCTCCAACCAAAACTCAAAAGCAACAACAAAAAAACACAGCCTCGCACTGCAGAAGCAGATGATTGGCAAACGACTGACACAATTAAGCGATTTTCAAAACAGCGCCTGATTGGGTTTCTGAAGGTGATATTTAATAGTGACAGACCCATGATTTCTAATTACAAGAACAAAGAACAGACAAGAAAGGAAAGGGACAGAAAATAACAGTGTCAAACCAAGGAGGTGTCACACCGCTTCAGAAACATAACAGATGTCGCT